AAGGTTAATCACGCCTGGGCATCACGATCGTGCCTGTTCGAACATTGTCAGATCATCCTTGACCAACCATGGACTCTCCAAGAGACGCATTGGACCCGTACAATAGCAGTCACACGTACACCGAAGTCGCCGGGCTCTTCCTTCAACAATACTGGCCGATCCTACTCCCTCTGACCGTGTTAGTCAACGTCTTTCGCACCCGCTACCTCTCCCCGCTCCGTCGACATCCCGGACCTTTCGTCGCCTCGACAACGCGCTTGTGGAAAGTCGTGTCTACCGCATCGCGTCGAACGCACCTCGATCATATAGCCCTCCATAGGAAGTATGGCCCTGTCGTGCGCATTGCCCCTAACGAGGTATCCATCGCCTCGCCCGAGGCCGCGCGACATGTCCTAAGCGCTGGCAAGCGGTTCTACAAGACGGCGTTCTACGGCGTCTTTCCACCGCCGGAGAATCCAGACATCTTCACGGAAGTCAGTGAGGAAGCCCACGCGAGGAAGAAGAAGGTCGCCAATGTGCCGTATAGCATGGCGGCGATGCAACAGCTCAGCCCTTTTATTGACGACACTATCGATCTGCTGATCACTAAACTCGGCGGATTTACGTCGCGGCCTATGGAGTACAAGGCCGACAAGTCCGTTGATCTTGGTGCGTGGCTACACTACTTTGCCTTTGACGTGCTCGGTGAAGTGGCTTTCTCGCGAAGCTTCGGGTTCCTGGCTGAGGGCAAAGATGTGGAGGATGCCATCGCCACTATTGACCGCTCACAGGCGTATAATGGGATTGTTGGTCAAGTGCCGTGGGTTGACTTTCTTTTGCGACGGAATCCTCTCTGGAAACTCGTTCCAACGCTCAACACCAAGAATGCGCCAATCACTCGGATTGCCTTGAGTGAGATGGAGAGAAGACGCCCCTTTGACAAGGAGAGTGAAGGCAAGCTGAGGAATGACGACGGGAGACAAGACCTCTTGGCGAGTCTGATCAAGGGACATCTGAAAGATACTGAGCGATTTACCGAGGGCGATGTTTTTGCTGTTACCCATGGCGCCATGTAAGTGTGATTCATCCATGAGAATACCCCTTTCCCGCCCGGGACTAACGAACTTGTAACAGCTTTGCCGGATCAGACTCGACAGCTTCAACCATGCAATCACTGTTCTGGCATGTTCTTTCGGCACCACACATCCACTCAAGACTGGTAGCGGAAATCGAAGATGCCGTCAAATCCGGGGCTATACCCTCAACCGGCAACATCTCCTGGAAAGAGGCACAAGAGTTGCCATACTTCCAAGCATGCCTGAAAGAGGCTATGCGTGTAAGACCAGCAGTTGGACTCAACATTAGTCGGATAGTTCCACCAGAGGGAGCTGAATTAGACGGCCAGTTCTTCCCTGGCGGGACACAGGTGGCCGTCAATGGCTGGGTCTTGCATCGCGATAGGCGCACATTTGGCGAAGATGCTGATGACTATCGACCTGAGCGATGGCTAGTGGATGTTGAAGAAGCGAAGCGAATGGAGCGTTACATGTTCCAGGTGCGTAGACCAAGCCCTTCTGGCGAGATTCAAGCTAATTATTACATCAAGTTCGGTGGAGGAAGCCATGTATGCATCGGCCGGAATCTGGCTCTGTTGGAAATCAATAAGGTTATACCGCGTCTCTTTAGAGACTTCAAGTTTGAGCTGGCGCATCCTGGCCGGCCATTAAGAGCGAGTGCTACGTTCTTTGTGGTTCAAGATGGCCTCGAGGTGTTGATTGAGCGACGGGAACTGGCCTAGACACATGTACATGGTGAACATGCTAGTGTGCATGAGCAGAAAGATTGAGTAGTAGATTTCTTTAGCATCGAGACTGAACCAAGTTGATAATGTGTATTAACAGGGCTAGGCTTTGAAACGCCAGACAGTTTTAATGATGTCGTAGTCTCTGCCTTGCCGGGCGAATTAAGAGGATTTTGACCAACTAACTCACCGCCTACTTACCTAGGAGAATGGGTCGGAGAGAAGCCAGTGGACGCCGTCGTTGAATCTTGCTGATTCCCGACTTCCGGTCCGAGGGAGTATCCGCCGCCTCATCTCCGCGTACAACGTCGGACAAAGCCCGACATTAAGCTACCAAATCGGAGCGAAACATGCCACCCGCGTGTCTTCATTGTGGACTGGGATGATGCGAGACCAAGCTAAAGCGCCGGATTGGCTGCAGAGAGAATCCTAATTCTGCAAGCTCTTGATAGGCAACCCAGTCAGAGACGACCAACTGCGAGAATCAGGGTGTTGCTGCGGGGTGTCAGATGCGGTATCACCATCGCGGTGCGATATGGCGTCACGCCGGGCTCGGCCCCGACCCCACCGAGGCTTTCGTTATCTCCAACCCGGAGCCGTGAGCGGCCAACCGTCGGGGAACTTGAGTGTTCTGATAAACGTGCTGCATGCCCCGTTTGCTGCAGCTCTGTTGTGCATGTGAATTGTTCTGTAAGTTCAAAGTTTGTTCTGGAAAATCGAAACAGAAAATGGGGAGTACAAGTCGGCCACAACAGCTCCAAGTTGCCATCATCGGCGCGGGCATCGCCGGTCTGACGGCCGCCATAGCGCTGAAAGCGCATCCTGGCATCAAGGTTCAGATCTACGACAAGGCCACAGAGTTGCGGGAAGTTGGCGCTTCGATTGCCTTGGGACCAAATGGCCTGCGTACGTTGGAAAAGCTTGGTGTTCACAACGCTTTAGACGACTCGATCGCCTTCCGCAATAAGTCGGGTTATCCAATGATCTATCGGTGAGTGAGCCGGTGTTGTATCGTTTGATAGCTGAACCTGACCCATTGGTTAGCCATTACAAGACTGGCGAGATCGTATCGGTTGATGAGCACCACGGCAGCGTGGAGGCTCGGCACAAGACGGCAAGATTCCACCGCCCGCATCTGCAGCAGGCTCTGCTCAAGCATATCGATCCTGCCCATATTCATCTCAAAAGGGCCTTCAAAACTGTCGAGAACGAAGAGTCAACAGGCAGGCTTAGGATCACGTTTGCCGATGGTACCGCTGTCGCGGCAGACATCCTCCTTGGCGCGGACGGCATTCACTCTGGTGTGCGGAGCTTCTACGTTCCATCATCTCGGTCAAAGTGGACCGGCTGGACGGCATTCCGCGCGGTGTACCCCATCTCTCATCTGTCTCACATTCCCGATGTCCCGGACGAGGCAGAGCATTGGTGGGGAATTGATCGGACGTGGTTCATGTCAAAGCTCGGCAAAGATCTTTTCTGCATCGTCGCTTCCCACCAGAGCGACCCTGATGCTCCGGGTGCCCTGTACAAGGATACAGTCTGGAACACTGGCAGCGATATCGAGTTGCTCAAAGAGCACTACATCGACTGGCACCGGCTGGTGCGCGAAATCATCGAAGCAACGCCTGTGGATTCGTTAAAGGTATACCCCAACGCTTCTGCCCACGGGATTGAGAGCTGGGTCCTGGGTCAGGATAGAGTGACATTTGCTGGCGATGCGGCGCATGCCCATGGTGGAGCTTTCGCGGCGGGTGGCAGTCTCGCCATCGACGATGCCTGGGCCTTTGCGGCATCGATCCAGCACGTCTTTCCCCCTTCTGCTACGGAGCTCCCATCGGCAACAGACATTGCGAAAGCGTTGAAGTTGTATGAGAAGACGCGGAAAGCTCACACAGACCGAGTGCTTGATACGGTACATTCGACGAATAAGAAGAAGGTCGAACGGCTGGCTGTAGTAGAGAACGATGATGACTTGCGGGCGAGGATGAAGAATAGAGTTGAGCCTGTCTGGATCCATGAACACGATGTAGAGTCGGTATTCAGGCAGATCTTGGCACAGGAAGGAAGCTTTGAAGCACCACAAGCGACGTCAGATCCGTCAGAGGGGCAGATAGAAAGTCGACTTTAGATAAGGTACTGAGCATAGACGCCTGGAGACGAGCGGTCTTGGTAGCTTTCGTAGAGGAATTTCCTAAGAAATCCCTTGAATCGCGCAGTCGCGATCTTGTTCTATCTCCTGCAATGTGTTATGGGCGTTTTCGAATTCTAGAGTGACGACTAATACGTGTATTCAATAAATACTTTGTCTGATTCTCTGCCGTTTGTGACAGCTCGCAGAGGAAAAGCTTGGGTCCCATTTTCCCCAGCCTCGAGCGCGTACACACTTCGTATGAAGCTGTACACACTTATACCGTGTTCCATACAGATGAAGTGAACTTCGCGAATAAATTCGAGATGCTGCTTGGTGTTGATTGATGTTGGTTGTTGTTGGCTCCAGGTTTGTGAGCAGGCGGTTGGGGTAGGAGCTGGAAGGGTCGTCCCTGCGCTAGCCCTATTAGACTCCGTTGTGGTCTGTGCTTGCCGAGCACGTGCGGAGCCCACTTTAGTCGCTGTGATTGGTTAGTTATCAGCCGTTTTTCGACCCTGACGGGCTAAGCGCCGGTCCCGAGGTGTCCGTGCTTCTCGTCCAATGACTGAGTTCGCGCAGGATCCACTCTACGCTCCTTCCCGTCCTGCAGTGTGATGCAAGTACGTACCTTCGTACCTATCCCTCCCCCTTCGGACCCTTCCTCAATGCGACCTGCGACGACATCTCAGCGATCGTCCTCAGCCCCAAGGACGACGCCGGGAGGCTACATTCCAACACGACGTGTTTGCTCCCTGACCATCACCTTCGACTTTTGTTCTGTGGCTTTTCTCCCGTGCCAGTTGTCTCGCCCGCGCCATCCCTTCCTCACCGACCGTTTACCCCGCCGAGCCGTTGCGACTAACGCGCGAAATACCTTAATATTTCAACTTCCTCTCCGACGTGCGAAGACCGACATGGCACAGCCTTGCTCCTACTCAATGCTTCTTGGTTAACTGGCAACACAAGACCGATAGGCTATGAGGCCGAATCTACGCTGTCCTTTAGCTACCCACATCGGTAGGCATGCCTCCAAGCTTCGACATTGACTTGGATTCTGACCTCCATCTCCGCTCAAAGCTCCTCCATCCGACCATGGCACCGCACACGAACACCGCCCAGTCAGCCCCGAGAACCCCAAGGAAGCCTACCCAGACCGACCGAGTCAGAGACGTTGTGGACAAGCTCAATCGAGAATACAATCTCGCCATTGAGATACCCGATGTCACACTTACACCGTCCTCGACCCGGCAGCGCGCCGAACAGGACACAGCCTTTGCCCGCAGCGAAAAGATAGTCCGCGGTATCCGATACCATTGCTTTCAAAGCAACTTACTGGATATGATACTCAGTTCCTTTCACATGGAAGCCAGAGCTGCCAGTCAGGCATGGATCCGGTTGTTCGATGATGACGAACCCATTTCGGGGCCGGGAGGGGCACCCAAGGCTGAATCCCCCGGCCAACTACTAGAGTTGCAGGAGATTCTCATCAGAATATTGAATAAGGCTCTGGCTCAAGTCGAGAAACGCAAATTGACGCGGAACCACACCGGACCAGCAGTCTTCGCCTCTACTGAGTCAAGCAAGTCAAAGAGGAGATCCGAAGCGGAAACTAAAGCCGAATCACCCAAGAGAGTCAAGGCTAGTCTCCCACGCGCAGAGGAGAGGGAAGGCGTGATTTCCAATGCTCTAGACAAAGTCCCAAGCCGTTCTCGATCAGCCAACCCTGAGGCCATGCCGGTAAACCTCACCAGGGAGGTTTCGAGGCCGAACAAATCTTTCAATACTTCCTTCAGTACTTCGACTTCCATCCGCCAAAGCATATACGGTAGCGTTTCTCTAGCAACATCTGCGAGGACCAGTCGGACCTCAATCCTTTCCAGGGCAGAAGAGCAACTACCGGGCACTCAGGAGACAATTCCAGTTCCACTTGAGGAAGAAGAGATGCGCCGGGAGTTTCTGAACCAATCGTCACGGTCGCAAGACCCTTTTCCGGCATCTTCTGGTCATCTTGATGCATTGAATATCTCCTTCACAGAACACGAAGTAGAATCCGCGAAGAAGAGGTCTAAGACACCAGCAGATCTTGCACCCGGACCGCTCGCCAGCCCTTCTAATCAGACAACTGTCTACTCAGGGGTGTCGGGTCTTCAAGATTCGTCCTTGAAAGAGCCTGTTTTCACTCTCCTCAAACGATCTGAGCCGATTGATCTCCGATCCCGCCTGGACGCCTCGTGGCGTAAGTTGTTCCGCTAACAGATGTTGACACAGATGCCTGCACTGCTAATACGGTTTTGTCTCCATCGCGTGCTAACCGTTTTGTAGCCAGATTTCCCAGTTGGCTCAATCGCGCGCCGTTTGCCGTCGCATGGGAGATAACGCGCATCGCAGTTCATTGCGAAGTCGACCTAGGAGAAGTCATGATGGACTATGACGAAACATGGACCAACTACAACCAGCTCTGGAAGTCTCTCTTAGCCCATCCCAAGTTCGCTGGCAAGTCGTTTCCTGAGCGTCCCAGCACTGACGCTTGGGCTGCTGCCATGTCCGGGTTCAATACAGTCCGAGGACAGCATGTGCTTTTCTCGGCCCAGTTTGACCAAGTTCCCCGAACAAAGAGGAAAGGTCACATATTCTCATTGTCGATGCAACCCATCGCCTTGGATCAAGGCTGTCGCCTGCACCGCCACTTCGGTTCCGATCGGTTTCTCGAAATTTTGATACCCAATCCCAATGGGTGGCACGAACCAATCAACAAACCCGAAGTGTCTCAAGAAGTCGTTCATTGGTTCTCTTCAGAGCGGCATTACCTCGCAGGCAGACAATGGCGGGCATTCTTCTCTATAGACGCCAGGTACAAGACGCCATCGAAAACTCTGAACATGGTCGCCCCTGAGCCAAAGCCCGTCTATCAAGACAGGATCAGTCTCTTTGCCGAGAACGGGAACAACTTCCATGCAGCCCTCTCTCTCACAGCATCGTTGCATGACAATCCTCGTGAGTTTAGGGTCAAGCTCAAGACCGGGGAGATGCTTGACTGGCTGTTGCAATTCGACCACAACAAGGAACAACCATTTCTCAAGTTATTCTCCCGAATACAGCTCGGTAAGAGGCACACACAGATCTGCAGCCTATGATACTTACTTATCAATTTTTTAGGATTGAGCAAAACGACACCAGTGATTGTTCTCGAACCCCATCAGATACAACACCGCAAACAAGATATCCTTTCGCCCACCGGCAAGGTCATGAACGATGGTATCGGCCTCATGTCTCGATCACTTGCTCGCAAAATCAGAGATGTTCTTGGACTAAGTGATGTCCCGTCTGCAGTCCAGGGTCGCTTTGGTCCTGCCAAGGGCATGTGGGAGGTTGACGTCTTCGACGACGACGACAGCCTGTGGATAGAGATATGGCCTTCTCAACGGAAATGGGACTGTGATTATGTTGATCCAGAGCATCGCACGCTCGAAATCTGCGCTCATTCGATGGAGCCACGATCTGCTAGCCTCAACGTCCAGTTCCTTCCAGTCCTTGAAGACCGAGCCAATGATAGAGAAGCGATGAAACACACCATTGGAAAGATCCTCGAAAATGAACTTTATCGTGCGGTGGAGGAGCAAAAGAATGCGATGAAGTATCCCTTGGAGTTCCGCAAATGGAATGTTGACAACTCTTCTACAAGAAAGCAGCGGTTAACCCATGGACGGGTGCCTTTTCTGGCTGGTCTTCCGGAATCACGAGAAGAGAGTATGAACTTCCTTTTGGATGGTGGATTTGAGCCTCTCAAGCAAAAGTTTCTTCAAGAGATCGCCTGGGATCTAAGGCGAACCAAGTGCGAAAACCTGTTGAAGAAGATGAGCATCAAGGTGCCAAACTCGGCTTACTTCTTCATGGTAGTCGACATGTGGAACATACTTGAGGAGGATGAGGTCCACTTATGCTTTTCGTCAAAGTTCCAGACGGAGACCTTTTCGGACTCCATGCTCCATGGTTGCGATATTCTCGTAGCCCGATCTCCGGCGCATTTTGTAAGCGACATCCAGAGGGTGAAGGCCGTCTTCAAGCCGGAGCTACATGCCCTCAAAGATGTCATTGTTTTCTCAGCCAAAGGAAACGTCCCTCTTGCAGACAAGCTGTCAGGTGGTGACTATGATGGTGATAAGGCATGGGTCTGCTGGGAGCCAGCAATCGTTTTAAACTTTAGAAACGCAGAGGTGCCGCCTAGCCCAGACCTTTCGAGCTATTTGAGGAAAGACAACACAACATTCGGGGACCTTGTACAGCAGCATGGCAAGGATGCTATATCGGAAATGATCACTCGCAGCATTGTCTTCTGCTTGAAGCCAAGCTTCTTGGGCATTGCAACCAACTACAAGGAGAAGCTTTGCTACTACCTCAAGAGCGTGAACAATGATTATGCCCTCTGGTTGAGCGCCCTTCTGGGCAACCTTGTTGACCAGGCCAAACAGGGCTTTGACTTTACGGCAGAAGACTGGTCCAGGTTTTGCCGAGAACGGCTCGACAGTCACAAACACAACGGACTCCTTGCAGAGCCGGCTTACAAGTCTGACCATTGGTCACACTCGCGGCCACCAGACCACATTATCGACATTTTAAGGTTTGTGGTGGCGAAGCCAGCTATCGAAAAAGAACTCGCAAAGTTCCACAAGTCAATGGCCACGAGGTCGAATGAGTCGGGGTACGAGCTACGATCTCTCCGCTCGAAAAAGGACAGCGAAGCGGAGCTGACAGCGGAAATGTGGGATTCTGATCTGACCAAGCTTCACGAAGACTTCGCGAAGCTTGCGACTAACAACCTAGCTTTGGAAAAGATTCTGCGCAATCTGGGGAATGACTTGGAGGATGCTGGAAAGAGTTGGAGCGAAAAGGTTGGCCAAAGCAAAGACAAGGACGTGAACCGCGCCATGCTCGAAGTTTACGAAGAATGGCGATCGATCCAACCCCGTCCAGACGGTGCCCTCGAGCCAATGACCGACGCTTTTCTGAGGCAGACATACATGAGCGAGGACCACACGACCTGGGCTTTACTGCGTGCCAGTACAACATTCAAGATGTTTTTACAAACGCAAAACGAAGTTCGCTTGGAGGATGGCAGGCATTCAATTGCAATTCATGAAGGCGATGACCTCAGCCGGGCTTGATCGGGTCCTCGTCCCTATGATCCCAAACATGTACGCAGCCATGAAACCAGACGCCAAGTTCATCACGCAGGCCGTCTCAAGAATGAAAAACGAGGGATCCGAGTATCCTGGCCTCGACTCTGACAGCGAGAATGATTGGGGTGGATCAGAGGGCGAGGATTGACCACCTCGCCGTGAACCTCTTATGTCTTTTCACAAGAACTAAGCAAGGTCCAATGGCCTAGGTGCTCAATTATTCGACTACGAGTTTGACCTTGCCCGAGGTTTGACTTGGGATGGGAAAGAATTAGAGCTTGGAACAAAACACGGAGCTATGATGAGAGAACGAGAGAGATACGATTTGGAATTTGCTTGGGAGCGATTCTGCGGATACCCTTTTTATACAGCTCGTTGAACTTTTGGTAGACTACCGCCGGGCGTCTGGGAGCACCCGGATGGAGGCACGTACGGCCGTTTTTCTTCTTGACTGTGGTGAGTCCCAACTTTTGTGTCCTGATGCGTTCCTCGTGACCAACGCCCCGTTGACCCTAACGTTACCTTTGTGAGAGACTCTGAAGAGGCCATATATATACTACTACCTTACACAGAATAACTTTAATGAATGGATCCTGAGGTAGGCACCAGTAATGAGACTTTTATCGAAATTTCCATTGCCCTTTTTATTTCTGCCACACCGAGGTTTTCTTCTGAAAACTTTGCCCAGAACACATACTCACAAACTTCTAAACATCCCTCGCCTGCTAAGGCTGTTAACAATGTCAACATCACTACCGCTTTACAAGCGAGAGGTCCAAGATCCGGACAACAAGCCACTGAGGTCAGTTACTTACGCCATCGTCGTCCCTAATTTCCCGCACGAAGCGGTATACGTTACTAACATTCAAACACACGTACAGAAGGGTCATAACGGCGTCCTCGGTCCGTTCGACTCAATCAACCACCCCGCCCGGGTTGGCTACAGTAAAGGAAGCCTCTGGCTCTGGGGTGTCTTTACCCTCTGATAAGAGCCATAACTTGAACGCAGGGGCAAATAGCCACACGTGCGACTCGCGGATGATGTACACCGTACGCGCACGCGATGTCCCCTGCGAAGATCCGTCGCAGTGCCCCTACGGTCCCAAGGCGCATTCCCATTCTGTCTACAAGTATATCAAGGTGGACAAAAAGAAGGTCAAATGTGGTGACAGGGCTGAACAGGTGTGGCGGGCGAATCAGAAGCGACTTTTAGCGGAGAAGCAGGAGGGCGAGGTCGCTGATGAGGCACGCCCCGGGTCTAGTTCTGATCAGCACGAACTGATTCGACTTTTCGCAAAACCGAACAAGGCAAAGGAGGGAAACGGCTCTAAACTGCAGGAGCGTAATGGTGAATCTCCCATCAAAAGCACGGCCGAGCCGGAAAAGCTGAGCGACCCAATTACCTTTGGGCCTTCCCAGTGCTCTCTGCCCGAGTACATGATCAAGGGCACGCCCCTGATCCCATTGCCTTACCTTTCGGCCGGCGGCTGGACTTTCCCGCGCCCCCATGCCGAAGCGGAGAAGAAGGAAAAGGAGCGGGAGAAGGTGGTGAGGGAGGCCGAAAAGGTAAGAGTGGAGATGACCACCCCTATCATGAAGCAAAGCCAAGAAGATCAGCCTCAGCAAGAAAAGACTCAGAAAGATCCCGAGGAAGAAGCAGAGGCGAAGAAGCAGATGTGGCGACAGATCAACGAGAATACTACGAGCAAGCAGACAAGAGAGCAGGAGAGCCAGGCGAGCAAGGTAGGAGAAGAAAATGCCTCGAAGACGAGGACACAGAGGCTGACAGACCAGCAGCGACATTGGGAGGAGTTGCGCAATCGGGTCTTAAGAGAGGAGCTCCGTCTAAAAGGCACTCTTGTGCGCAACACCGCGCAGGAAACTGAAGAGCACATTCTCAGTCTCGCGAATGAGCACGTACAATACTACGAGCTCAAGGTAAAGCAAGAACGGAAAGAACGGGAAGACCACATTCTCAAGCTGAAGCAAGAATGGGAACGAAGGGCAGAGCACGTGGTGCTCAGACAGCAGCAGCAAGTTGAGCGCGAGCTCGAGATTGGGCAGCAACATGAATTAGAGCTTGAAGAGAAGCAGAGAGACAAGGAACTTCAGCGGCAAGAAGATCAGGCTAATCAGAGGCAGCGAGAAGAGTCTCAGCTCAAGCAGAAGCAGAGGCAGCAGCACCACCAACAACAAGAAGAGCGCGCGTTCAGGCTGAAGAAGTTTTATGAAGACGAGAAGAAGAGGATGGAACAGCAGAGACGCGAAGAGCTACAGAGACAGGAGGCCAGGGAGAGACAAAGAGAGGAGTACGAGCTCCAGATGAAGCAGCGAGAGGAGCAACAGCAAGAGCAACAAGTACACGAGCTCAGGCAGAAGCAGCGACAAGAAATTATACTCAAGCAACAGCAGCGACATGAAGCCATACAAAAGAGCAAGCTGGAGCTTGAAGCGCTGCAGAGTGGAGTCAGACAGCGAGAGGCCGAGCTCGCGCAGAAACAGCGACAGGAACTCGAGTTCAAGCAGGAACAGCAGAGGCAGCAACAGTTGCAACTGAAGCAGCAGGCAGAGAAGGAAGCCGAGAAGAAGCAGACCGAGGCTTCTGATGGCAAGCCCGGCTCCTCGAAGCCAACGTACAACCCTGAGCAGGGATATGCCGATATAATTGAGACAATCAAGAACTGGCAGCTTTCGGCGACGAAGGGAATTCAGTGCATCTCGGAGGAGTTAGGTCGGATCTCTGCTACCGCTGCCAAGGCGGAGGAGCTGGCCGAGTTGGGCTCCGTCTCTGCGGAGGTTCGTACTGAGAATGAGACTGTAGCCGAGTCGGCTGAGGCGTCAAAGGCGCCAGAGGCCGAGGCTGATGCCGAACGCGAGATTCCTCCCTTCTCGTTGGGCTCTCCTCTCTCTCCTGTGATTGACCCTGTAAGTACACATTCTGTTTCGGTTCGCGCATCTTGTCTTCCCCGCTCATACCAGAAATTCGCAGCGCAACTGGTCCCATCCCGACGCGGATCAAAGTCGCAGGATGGTGTATAGACTCGTCAAGAAAGAGGACGATGTCCCTACTTTTGACGTTGTCAGCTATGAGGATGCCAAAGACCCTGCGGACGAGTTCCTTACCACGGAGTCTGTCAATTGCCAGAATGGCAAGGACTGCAAGATGTGCAACTGCCGGATTTCGCGCCAGGAGCCATCGCAGGCTGGCATTAAGACAGCGTTACCTTTGGAGTTCTTTGATGACGATTTCGTCCTCATTTGAGGGTTTTCGGCGGCGGAGGTGCAGAGGGATGAGTGGCGTTTACTGATTTCCTATCGCGCGCGATGCCCAGTGATATACGAGGGGCCAGTCTATGATATCGCAAGTTTGTAGTTTCCTCCCCAATTGATCTAGTTTAATCGATTCTTGTCGTCGTTTTGACAAAGACACGCGAGTGAGTTAAGGCTGCCATAGTCATTCTACCTGCTTACACTTACCGAGTGGCACCTTGTAGGTAAAGTACTAGATCGCAGGGGCTTGGTGGGCTAACACTGGGAGCTTGCGACCTGAAATTTGTGTTTTGCCATGGATAGTATTATTGTATTTATTTTTTTTCAAGTGTTTGCTAGTTTTCTATGTGTTTTTGCTATCAGAATCGTGACGTTAATGTTGGTGGATGGTGATGTGCTCTGCATCACAGACGTTTCCGAGTCGTTGGCCATGGCATGGCATTTGAGTTGTTGTAGAAACACTCCCGAGAGTCAAACAAACCTAACGCCGTGACCTGAAGTCTGCAAGACAAGGAGATGTTCGATTGCTCTGCAACGCTGTAGACAACCCAGAACAATCAAGCCTCCTTGGCTGGGTCCTGGAAGAAGATGACCTGCACCGTAACATCATCCCTGACGTTCCTCGCCAAAGGCGGGTATGCGAGCGTGACGCCGGTGAAGAGGGACCTGCGTGTGCCGCCCAGTGCATTCTTGATCAGATGCACGGCCGCGTTGTCAAGGTCTTCAACAACAAAGTGCTCCGGCTTGGCGTACCAGTTCGCCCAGCCTGCAGACATGTCGAACTCGCTTTTGACCCCCGGAGTCACGGCAAGCTTGTCTTTCGGTGTCTTTTCGCCGGCCTTTTTGGCCGTGATCCAGCGCGACACGCATTCCACCGCATTGGCGGACGAGATGTGATCCCACAGGCCGTCAGATGCAAGGATGACAAAGTCGGGGCCCTTGATCTCGGTGACCGTGGTCACGACGGGCGCGGCAGTCATGTACGGCGGCGTGAGGTACTTGGGCCGCACACCGGTGCCGAAGAAGTCGTTCTGGGCTTCCTTGATGGCTTCTGCGGTCCACTTCCAGCGGTGGTCGCCAAATGCACGGGTGACGGCGATGCCAAAGAGGCGACCGCTCTTAGTGTCGATCATGTCTGCTTCCTCGCCAGGGTGCTCCTTGGCGATGCGGTCGAACTCATCCTTGTTGTGACCCGTCTGGTCCTTGGAAAGGGCGCGAGCCGAGTACAAGGTCGCGCCGGGAGCGATGGAGCCCAGGACGGCGCGAGAGTCGCCAGTGCAGGCTACGCGGAGAGTCGAGGTGGCTGGATCAAAGATGGACAGGAGGGCGCAGGACCCTGCGATGGCGGGGGCGAGGGCGGCGATGACGCTCGAGTCGGCGGGCTCGACGGCGCCAGATTTGAGGCCGGCTAGGGCCTTTTGGGCGTTGGATGTGATGAGGTCGTCTAGGTTGGTGAAGGCCTTGACGATGGCTGTTTCGACTGCTGCGTCTTCGGTGCCACGGCTGAGTTGGGCGATGGAGGATGATACGGCGGGGATAAGGGCGCTCTTGAGCAGAAGCGAGGTTGCCCATCCGCTATTTCGATAGTATCAGCAGCACTCTTGAGAGGTATGAAAGTGAAGAGACTCACGCGTGACCATCGTAGACGCCGTTGAACAGAGTCTCTGAGTTTCCAACACCCGGGCCGAGGGAGAATGTCATGACATCCTCGACAGGGTGGTTGCTCGCGACTCTCGCGGCATGGACGTGGGTGTGCTTGCCCTCGGCAGTGAAAGAACCCACGAAGACATCCTCACGCAGCTTTGCGTCCGCAGTCTCAAAGCTGCCCCCATCAACCGGCGTCTTAGCCAGGGCATCCAAGTCAACGGGCCCGGGTCCCAGGCTGGGAAGGGTCCCAGGCTTCAAGCTCGGAGGGGTGCTGGTGGCCTTGGCGATGAGGTAGCCGGCGACGGCGCTAGCGGCCCCGAGTGCGTACGTTGGCAGCTTGGAGGAGCTTGATGACGGGCCGGTGCTGCTCGAGTACGGACGCGTCCATCGCGGGGCCGAGGTGCGGATAGCGCGCGCGGGGACGTGGAACCTGAGGGCGGCCCCGGCATTGGCCGGGTATGCACCCTGCAGCATCATGGCCTTTTGAGGGCTTGGTTGGTGTGGGTTGCTTTAGCTTGGCGATCCCTCAGTCATCTGGGTGCGGCTGCGGTCCCCTTTTTGTAGGTGGATGGGAGGGTGGTGAATCAGCCTCTCTGATTGATTTGAAACGAAGTTTGAGTGAGGGAGTGAAAAAGAATAAAGGTGAAAGTGAAAGCGAAAGTGAGAATGAGATTGAGAGGCGAGAGATGAGTGATGAGTGAGACTTTGATGAGGTGAGACGGAGTAAGCTGCGGTGAATCGCCGTTGCTGTGGCAGGTGGTCGCGTGCCTGCTTTCTCCCATCCCTGGCTCTTTCCCTCACGTCGCTTCTCCTTCTGCGGCACGGACCGCACGGCACCAAACAGCAGCAACAAACAGATTGCACCTTGGACTTAGCCTCACTGCCTCATTGAAAAAAAAACCAAAAAAAAAACCAGGAACTCGGGAGGGGGGAAACGGGGTGATGGTTCGAAGGATTCATACATCTTACACAGCTTCTTATTTCCGTTTAGTCTGGCCATCTGTGTGACTCACAGACGGGGTGACCCTGAATCAAGGTTGGTTGGTGGGTGAGATGTCGGCTATGGAACATCACGAGAGCAACCGTCCAGGATGTTGATACTGGCCATGTAGCCAACCGCGTCATTAATCTTACTCAAAATGATCGCCTGCTTTGAACCTCTAAAATCACTTGAGACTTGCTTGCTATCATTCGATCATTTTCACTACGTTATTTCTTCCTGTCTTTGGGAAATCGATTCCCCAGAAACCTAGACCGATTAGATTGCTGTCGAGTTACCCTACTTGGTTTTAGCTATTTCACACGCAGGAGGCCTGCCTTCATTGTGTTCGATATTTCCTAGGATATCGAGTATCCAAACATAGAAACCTGTTCAATTAAGCATTCGAATGATGAAAGCAACCGTGTCCTAGAACTGATTCGTGTTCCCCAGTCACGAAAAACTTCCAAAACTTATAGTGATGGCCCTTTTCGTCGTGCAAAGTGGTTACTTGATACGTACTGTCCTTGTCTCCCGATCAACATAACTTTCCTCCATTTCTGGAATGCCATCCCCCATATCAAATACTATGACAACACCAAGAAACTCAAATGTATCAGGGTCTTCTTTCAATGGCCTGAGAATCGCTGGCGACATTAAGCCGTGAAGCATCCAAATCTCATCGTTGCAACGAGTGGATTTGACTCCAATACAGACTCGGCGGGTCCGCGCAGCTGCGCGAGTCCGCAAGACAAACCTGGTAGAGCAAGCAAATTTAGTGCAGATGATTGCTCCGATCGACCTTTGTAGGCTTTGAATAGGTCCAGGCTTGTTTCCGAGAAGGTCCACAACTTCAGATCTGCTGCCAGCCTCTCCGGCTCAAACCATGAGGTCTCGGATCGAGTGCGCCATGCAAGCCATCAAAAACGCTTCTCGACGCTGCTCAATACTCGCAAATTTGGTCTGTGTATCATGAGATATCTGTCGCAGCCTCCTCGTATCAGGAAGAAACGGTCGACTGGCAGGTTCCATTTCAAGAAGCCGGTCGATAAGCTCCATGTATTGTTTGAGATTGGGATCAAGTACACTCTGTCCGGCATCTTGTGGTACCGGACAATCAGAACTCAGACGGAACATGAGTCTCAGAAATACGTTGAAGAGACTCGCAATAAGGGGCGCAGGAGTCTGCATGCAAAAGCAATCCCCACACATTATCCGCCAGATAGCTCAGCTCGTCTTGTCCGTAATCTGTGAAATAACGAAAGTTTAGTAGTAAGTCAATTACTACATGTATGTTAGAAAAGGGAGATGATTAAGATGTACTGAGCCATGCGATTGAAGCTCTCCATCCATCTCAATGCCAATTATGAACTTGAATAGTCCTTAGATGCACCTCGTGAAGTCCTGATCTGCATCGTTGTCCTCTTCCATCGTGACGTTGTCAACGTTGCTGATATGGATGATGCAGTCATACTGTATTCCCTTGACGACTAGTATGTTATCGTCCTGTATCTCGAAATCAGGCGCCACAGATCCCCAAGGTGATGGAATGACTTGATCCAAGGGCGCACCGAAAGTCCGATCCAACGTCGCGTGACCACGAATACTGTAATCGGGGCACCAAGATGGCAGAGGGCAAATCCCCGGTACTGTGTTCCTAGAATCGTTGTATATCTGGGCACGGGCTCTACCCTTTCTTCTTGGCCCTGCACTAGGTGCAAAATATCGAGGCTGTTGTGGTGGCGAACTTCGGGGGCCGTAGCAGCAGCATATAACTGTTCTACTGGCGTGCTATAGTCGACAGGAAACGGGATATTCCCACTATACGGGTCTGCTTACATTTCGCTGGCCAGACCAAGTATTTCATAGATATGATCGTGCAAAAACGTCGCCTGGCGTCCTCAACAAAGCAGCCTGGCAGCAACAAAACTTGTTTTGTTGTCTCTGCCGCAGAGAGCTTTACTGTCCTCGTAGTCATGAAGAGCCGTCAATATATGAAGATATCTCACGTATACCAGCCAAGACTTAGCTGAAAGCTTGCGTCCGTGGGCTGTCGGTGAATCGTGTTGCACAAATTCTCCTCCAAAGCACATCATCGCGCCTGCCATTAGAACAAAATTGAAACCGAGATGCGAGGTGCCGCAAACTACGATAGGTTTTGTCGATAGTGATGCCTCCTGCAGTGCCCAGACCCTCGAGAACCACGGTCGAGAGAGAAGATCCTATGCTGTGAAGATAATGGAATAGAATGGCTCTGACAAGTTGATTTTACACTTGATATTAAGTAAAATAAATTTCCATCACCTAAGGAAATGTAGATGATATATACCGACTCGTTAATTCTCTGAAGGCTGTCAAAATCCGTTTGAAAGTCCAGGTTATTGTGACCCTCGGATCTCCCATTCACCAAGCCTTTGGGCTTTTCGCCGAAAATTGGTCCAAGATCGGAGAGTACGCCCGATCTGCTCGTTATAGCCATAAGTGACAGCGTGTACCAAGCCAATATACTGCGAAGAAGCCAAGAGAGCATTGAACCAGCTTGGCAAGGTGCCACCCCGTATCTCAATCAATCGATTCACAATCCCAGGTGTCCAAAGAATGAGGTAGCCGAGCGGATAACCGTTCAACAACAGCATACGCCGCAGGTTTGGTGGTGCCGGAAGCCGTAGCGATTCAGTACGCACGTCCGGTTCTTTCAAGCCTTCAGTATTGCCTCCCCCGACAACTACGTTATGTGAAGACGGGAAGTTCAGATCATCAACCCCATCGTTTCGGTCGTTGATTGGTGCTGTTGACGACGAATCGCTCGCCAAGCCTCGATTATCCTCTAGGTCGTGTGTAATCGTAAATGATGTCGTCTTCATAACAAACTGCTCAGTTGGACCCTTTTGGTCTTCGTTGGATAATACTGTTTGTGTCCGGGCTGTAGTGACAGCTTCTGTCGAGTCGTCCGAAAATCGAAAGCGGCCGAATAATCGTCTCAGTTTGACATAAATGGCTGTGTAGATGCCGACCGTCAAGAAGAATATCAAGAGGCGCCATCCAAAGGATAAAGCCCAGCGATACACCGGGTACTTCTTCTCAATCCAGCACCAATTACCACCTACTGGACCATATACATGCAAACCCAAGGCGGTGAAGCCTAATCTAGCGTTAGTGTGCAACTTCCTGCGTCTGGAGTACCTAGTGAATGACATACTCGTGATGACGCCTGGTATCCATGCACATAAACATACTGCAACAATACGTCGTAACGAAGAATCTTGCAGCAGATGATTCTTGTTTACCGTAAGCAGTACCGTTATCGAGATGAATAAGATATTGAAATCCGTCGTTTGTACTGTGAGCTGGCCCACCCACGCATTCATGGTACATCCTCCTGAAGGAATGACCTGGTCAAGCGTGCCATACTTTAGTACTAGGAGACCAGTTACAGTATTATTAACCATGTCGACAAAGTCTTGAGATAGATTGTTAGACACGACTTGATCCATGCTTCGGGATGTGAATCATACCGGATAAAAGAAGATTGACAATGAGCGCATGTCGGACATGCCGGCGTCGAGGTGGAGAAATAAAGTGTAAAATTAGAACGGTAAATGTAAACAGAGCGGACAAGACAGATCCAATGAAGGTAGGTATTGAGACGGCCAAGTCCACGTTTGCTGGAGCCATGTTGAGGGAAAATCAAACTGACGGTGGAAGTCGTGAGCGATTCGCTGCGTTTGGTGATGATACCAGGTCCGAAAATAATGGGTGACGTGGACAATTCCAGTCCTGGTCATTTGGCAAAGAATATCAAAGAAGCATCTATGCACGACCAGGAAGAGTAACAAACGCTTATCCAAGAGTTTGACGAATTGGTGGCATGGTTTTGCTAAGACTGTCTCATTCTGAGCACATATCTGTAGCTCTTGCCTGCTTCTTCCGAGGGCTGAGGTTTGTGCCTCAATCACCGAGTATTACGGCACAGAAGAGAACTTCTAGTGTCTAACAATACCGACGAAAGCAGCTGCCAATTCATCAGCAAATGATCAAAAACCAAGCTGGCTAGTACGGCAAATCTATACCTCATCTCGATTCCTGTATCACCATGTCGTTTCGCAATTCACCTTGAGTGCCATGTGGGAGACGTGCGCATTTAGGGGTTCTCGTATTGTGGCTTAGTGCCCGTTGTCCCATGGGCAACAGGGACGTTGAGGGAGAGATAACGCCTACCTAGCTAGCATGGAAGAATAGAAAAGATAGCAGCCAAGTAGGACCAGTGAGAAGTTGATTTGGCACCGTCAGATGAAAGGAAAACGCCACTAGTTCGTCTCCCCTGTATGTACCCATTGGCTATTTCCTATCCGTCAATCAAACATCACAATGCTATCAGTATGTCGTATCACTGTATGCTCTTTCGTGGCCTCGGGGTATTAGCGCCTAATAAGCTTTCGAACCCCCTGTCCTTTCCTGTAGATCAGTGGACTGATTTCAAGGCAAAATGGTAGTCCCCTGCGTTGCGTCGCAATGCTTGATGGGTGTCTGCTGCAAAGACGCTCCTTCTGGTTGTCTACGGAGCAGTGTCTGAGACGCCCGAAACAGGGGCGCACTCTATCCATCATTGGTCTTACCTAGGCCCATGCCGGTATTCGAAGTTCACGACGCACGTCAAGCTTAGATACGATGAAAGGTACGGAGTACATAGGTGTGGGTGGCTGATCATGCTCCAAGGGGGTTTACGGCAATCCGGAACCTGCGAGTCAGTCATGATGGAACGAACCCTTGATCCCTACTCATCATGGGTTCGCTCTCGCAAGATAACGCTGGCGAGAAATGAAAACATGGCGCCCATGCCTCTACGCTTGGTTCGTTTCTGTCACTGACCCGAGTTAGCTATCTGAAGCAAAAGAGCCACCACCAGTGCCTCGTTCGAATCACACTTTCATTGTTGCTCAACGCTCCGGCCACGTCCCGGCTGCTACCGCCGCTACCATACACAAACCCCGCGCGAGCTGGCAAAAGAGCGGCATGGCCGCGGATAACTTAGCCGCTGTAATAGACGCTCGACAAGGAGGCTCTGAAAACTGTCTGGCCGTTACGGAGTGCCCCGTAGATACATGTGACTTGTCGCGCCTTGGGCAAACGGAACAGGCCTCACAGTCTACAGGCTACACCGCACCTCAGATGGGTAGCGCGGGAGGTCTTGTACGACCTACCCCGCCGACGAACTAGCCGTCAATGATATCATACTTTTGTCTCGTGTTGAGATAGCCTTGCCATCGTGGTATGGTGGCGACGGTGATTGCTGTTCTTGTGCCGGTGCTGCGACATCGACGTCAACGTATGAAAAGTCGCCGCCGCCGCCGCCCACGCCAGATAGGTGTTACATGTTGGCAACCTATAATCTCGATAACCCCAGAAGAAGTTATTCACGTAGACATATAGGTACATATAAGCGTGAAGTAGGTATGAGCATCTACGCCTCAGCCGGTTGATGTATCCGTCCCCCGGATAGACCGCAGCATCGACAAGGTCATCATCAAGCGGTGATGTTTTTGCGAACGCCAAGTCCGGGACCAACACTTCCTCCTCGGCAAATGGGCGGAGATAATACCCGCCTGTACTGAGGTAGGCGACGGGGCAAAGAACTATTGCAAGGGCACCGACGCCCCGACTTTCGACAGGCAGTACGTCTGCTCCGTCTGCTTTTAGTTCAATGTTTCTTAAGGTTAAAGGAGCTCGTCGTGTGGTAGTGGGGCTACTTTAAGATGTACGATCGCGGGGACGGTCCACTGGCGCAAGGTGCATAGTAGTGAGGATAGAACACAATGAGGTAGGGCAGTAAGGAGAGGATATGACTGCGAGGTTTACGGAGAAGGTCGTCACGGACGAGAAGATTGATAGGGGGCAGGAAATGGAGAGATTCTTCTCTGTCCTCCAGCCTTGTTTTAACCGATGTGCACGGGAAAGTGTGCTAGTATCGACGGGTCCCACAGTCCTTTGCCAGAATCCATCTCTATTCGCAAAGTGCTTTCTCGACCACAAGCCCATCTTCTTCAACATGCGTGGCTTCAATCACTTTTTGTTGGTCGACACGCCCCCTCCTTCAAAATCTGATCGCGTCGCTGACCAGCAACAGCCGTAACAACCACGATCACACATTATTGGCTTCTTTTCTAAAGTAAAGAAACAACATGGAATAATCATAACCTCATATATATCCTCTTCTCCGCGCCGTAGCAGCGTAAGGGCCTTGTTGTCTTGCTGATGGGAGTTTTTCGTGACACCGAGGTCCAAGGACGTGCTCGGCGGGCCGGAGATGCTTACAAGCGGTTCTGGAGCGAGAATATTGCGCGCTGGCTACCAGGCTACGGGAAAAACGAGACTCAAGAGGATGTGGAAAGGGCGTCTTCGGCTAACATTGAAGATGACTGTAAGGCATCATGGGTTGCATTAAATGATTTTCTGCCCACACTTTGAGAGATATCAAAGGTCGGTATTGATCGTGGTACGGAGCCCTTGCAGTCGCCTGCCGAGAGGAAGCGGAAGGGAGGGCTGGCGCTGGGGTGAGGGCGAGGACGAAAATGGTGACGAGGGCGTCGAGATAGAAAATGCCGAGGTAAAGCAGGATAACCCCGACGTTCCGAGAGTGAGGGTTGACAAGGAAGCCGTCTGGGCTTGGGTGTTGTGCAGGAAAATCAGATTAGTCTTGAAAAGGTATCTGATCCGGATAGGTTTATAAGAAGTAAAAATGTGGTAGTTTTTGATCATTAGCTTTGGCGCTTTTTGAGTTCCAGGTTGTGATATCAGATGATTGCCGTCACTCAAATCCTAAGGCCGTGTTCGCAATGACGGTAATGCTGTCGGGTTCGAACAGAGCGCGTACAAATGCATGAAAGCTATCAACGAAAACTTCGGTTCTAAAAGCCGCTGGGATTTAGATCATGTCTCCTCGGGCTGTCTATCTATATCCTGTCCTCATGTGGGTTGAGTCTCCAAGCCAGTAGGTAGTGCACCAGTGTCAGCATTTGGGACGGAGGGCTCCGGCCGTTCCGGTATTACTACATGAATGATGAAATGCCGCTCGGGGTACGTTGATTTGTCCTACTCCATGCCAGGGGAGCCGACGGGATATTTCAGACTTCCAGTCCAGACCTGTAAGGCCGGCCTATCGGGATGAGATGAAGAACGGTGTGGTCGGATGCGATTTTGTAGGTCAGTTTCATATGTGAGAAATAATTTTGTTATGTTGACTCTGAGGGCCTGTCAAACGTTGTTGATTAGTTTGGCTTGTGCGCACCGGGTCCTCGGGCTCGTATTCGAACCGCTTTCCGAGGACAACTTTGCTTCTAAAGAGCAGAATCATCTCGGAATCATTGAGTTTCTAAGAATTAATGTCTCTCGCCGGTGACCTAGTGAGAGTCCCAAAGAGGCAACGAGCCGCGAGCTACCAAGCTTCGCCGGCAACTCAGTCCACCAGTGAATGCCTAAGTGGACACGGTCCTCGAGTGAAGATATAAAATGGCTCAAGGAAGAAGGTGAATGGCGATGCATGAGGTGATAAACAGCCCACGGATACGAACGCCAACCAGATAATTAGGACACAAGTGTGGATATCGATAACCTCAACATGACGGAAACTTACCAGTCTGCCATTGTCTCAGACGACAACAGCGCTTCAAAGAATATTCACAACCTTTACAGTAGGGTCGATCACTCTTTTGCCATCAAAGGAAATTCCCAAGGAAAACCCCTCGTCTCCTCATGGCTTCCCACCATCCAAGACACACTCTCCTCACTCCTACGATGGACGGGCTCCTACCCGGACGATTTGCGGGAGCACTATCTCAAGTTCGCGCGTGATGTTGTGGTCCCCCGTCTCAACCCGCCTCGCGCGGCCGACTGGCCGCACTATATCGGGACGCACAATCATGGGCCATACGAGATAAGCATCGCCTTTGCACCTCAGAAAAAGGCCAAAGTTCGGTTTTCAATACAGCCGCTGGCTGCTAGCGATGCGGGCAATGACCCCCTCGGGCAGAAGGATCTACGCAAGAAAGTCGAGGATCTGGCGTCTGCGTGCCATGCAGACCACAAGCGGCTCAATGCCTTCATCGACTCAGTCTTCCTCACTGATGAGGAGCAGGCCGGCCTACTCGAGAAGCATGCCAATCGCGGCGATGCGGTTGCTGTGCTGCCGCAGCAAAACTGTTTTATTGCTTTCGATCTCGAGCCCGTTGATAATGGAAGCCCGTCTATTAACATGAAGCTGTATCTGTTTCCACAGCTCAAAGCTCTTGCGACAGGCCGGGACCTAATGGACGTCACAGAGTCCATTCTGATTCGACTTGCCGATGGTGATAAGGCACTACTAGCATCCTGGGAATCGGTTCGAACGTTTCTCACCTCTGATGGCAAGGAGAACCTCTTGCATTTCCTTGCCATCGACTGCCTTGGGCCACATATGAAGCCTCGCTTCAAGGTCTACACCCACACACACGTCAACTCGCTCGCCTCAGCCCGTCATGTAATCACCATGGGCGGTCGCATCCCCTCACCTAAATATCTCAATACTCTCTGGCCCCTCCTTATGGATATGGAAGACGTTTCTCTGGCTGATAGGGAAGGGCTGCAAAAGCCGCTCCGCGAACCGAATAGCAAGTACTGTGGACTCAATCCCACCTTTGAGCTGGTGCCAGGCAACGCAGTCCCGGTAGTCAAGATGTACGTGCCCATGTGGCAGTACGCGCGCGATGAGCCTGGGATCGTGCGGCGCTACCAGCGCTTGCTACAGACGCAGGGTCTGGGGCACTACGATATTGAAGATGCTGTTCAATGCGTATTGTAAGTATTTCAACCACTGCGAAAATTCCCTTAGTTGCTCCAATGCTCAACCACAATGACTAACTGGTTTACCTTGAAACAGCGGTGAAGAAAGGGACACAAGCCTGCATAACATGGCATCGATTGTCTCTGCTAGAGATGGAGAGAGTGTAGCGTTTACCGCCTACCTTGGGCCAAGGTTCTGGGAGTAACTACTTTAATATGTAAGCTTGAAAACGGTATCCTAGGAGTTTTCTGTTTATTCTTGAGTTGATCAAACGGGAGTGTTTTGCTTCTATTGTTGAATGCGCTTCCAAAGTAAAGTGTATATAGTTTGCTCTAAGGTTATTGGATATGATGTCCGCCCTTGTCAACATACATTTACGCATGAGGTCAAGGCTTAGTTCACATCAAGTCTACAAAAACCTAACTTACAGTATCTGCAACAGTCACGCGCATCATTTTATGTGGCTCCTAGGCACGAACAGGCTGGCTAGCGGCAGAGCACCTACGATAAGGTCTGGAGTCATAGTCGAATGTGAGAGGCCTAAAGCAGTTGAAAAGACGACCAGCCTCGTTTGGCTACCGCAAAATTGTCTCCTCCTATTTGTTTCTACTATTGCTGCAGTACCTCGGTCCTCATCGCCTTTCTTTCTGGTGGGAACCCTCCGTGTAAAGAACCTATACATTCACGCCGCGTGCCGTTGCGTCAAATTCCAGTTCAGCTTTACGACTTTGCTAGACACTTATTAATGCGGACTGAGTCAGAAGGGCGCGGATGTTCACTGGCTAGTCGAAGGCCGCCCCCACATTCCATAGAGCGCCGAGGTGATTATATAAGGGTAATTTGAGGGAATATCTGGTTGAACAGCTTTAACCACTATGCCGCTGTGACGCAGACATTCCACTAAACACGAACCCATCAGGCTTTACAAGTGAGTTCAGACCAAGTTCGTTAAGGGAAACGTGCTTGAACTAACGCCTAGGTATTTTGAAGAGACTGTGAATTAGGTAGCACTGCAACTCAAGTTCCCCAACATGTCTGCGTTGTGCGCTCCCCCGCCGGTTGACTCAGCCCTAGACGCCATCGGCAACACACCATGCGTACGGCTGCGTAATGTTGTCCCAGAAGGTAGCGCCGATGTGTACCTGAAGCTTGAGTCTCTCAATCCCACGGGCTCCTACAAGGATCGCCTGGCTAGAGCCATAGTCGAAGAGGCTGAGCAACGCGGGGATCTGAAGCCAGGTTCAACTATAGTCGAGGCCACTGGCGGAAGTACCGGGTCATCCCTGGCCTTCGTCTGCACCTTGAAGGGGTACGGGTTCCATGCCGTCTGCTCAGATGTCTTCGCCAAAGAGAAATTACGCACGATGGCTGCTTTTGGGGCCTTTGTCGATATCGTCCACAGCCCCACCGGCAAGATCACACCGGATCTGTTCCCGTCCATGGTTAAGAAGGCGAAGACCGTCGTCGAGGAAAACGAGGGGTATTATGCTGCGGATCAATTCAAAAACAAGGACTGCATGGCGGGTTACAAGACGCTTGGAGACGAACTAGTCCAACAGTTCCCACGGGGGATCGATGCCTTCTGCGGTGCCATTGGCGGCGCTGGCATGGTTATGGGAGTTGCCAAGGTGCTCAAAGGTGTGCGTGCCGATACGAAGATTGTCACTCTTGAGCCTGCATCGTCACCCGTTGTTGCCAAAGGACATGGGGGGGTTCACGGAATTGAAGGTATCAGTCCTGGGTTTGTTCCACCTTTGCTTGACGATACTTTATACGACGCAGCACGAGCATACCCGGAGGACGAGGCGCGGGCTATGTGCCGTAGACTCGCTAAAGAGGAAGGACTCTTGACGGGAACTTCAACAGGGCTGAATGTTGTTGGAGCTCTAGCCTTGGCTAAGGAACTTGGTCCTGGCAAAGTGGTTGTTACGGTGGCCTGCGATACAGGTCTCAAGTACACAAGCGGTAATCTGTATGAATAGTCTCACTGCAGAATTAAAAGGAAGCACCTCAATAAGTCGCAAAGTCAACATTGAACTCTGTTGCTTACCTTACTTGTCTGCTCGGTGGCTGAAGCGCATGTTTTGGACTCCGTTGGTTTGACCGGCATTACAAATCAATTGGCAATTTTTCAAATGGTTCAAACATACAGCTCAATACGCATTGTTGAAATTGAAACCCCCTATGTTGTTGAGATTACAATTCCTCAATCCTTCACGATATTCCCCACGCGCACGTCATGGGTTGACTCACCACCTCTCAGCTTTCCATGTGATCGACAGAAACATGATGAGAAGTGCGCCCGGCTTACTGGAAGACCTCCGGATTTGCTTCCTTCCGCCAAAATAGATGCCAGCCCGATATACGCACTTTTGAAATTTCAACGTTGGAGGTCGATGGTCGGAGGAGGCTCCTGGTTTAGCTGCGTCTGTTGCTCAGATCCCAAGCCCAACCCTGGCCTCAGAATTGTCACAAGAAACACCTCAATGGTCACTCGTCGATGAGCAGATTTCTAAGATTGGCGCGAACCCCCGCTTTTAGCGTGCCGTAGCTTGATCCCTGGATGCCAATAATGCCCGCAATGTTTTGATGGGTCTTGGTTCCTCGGTGGGGGCCTGTTCCCACAACCAGCTTGGAGCTGGTGACTGTGTTCAATAGCCACCACGTTGGGGCAGCATCGCCGCCTACTCATGATCATTGCATATTCAGCTCCTGACTCTGCTAAACTTGCAGCTGATGAAGATTCTCCAGATGCCCTCAAGTCTTCAGTGGAAGTACGTAACATTTGCTAAGGGGTTCGGGGATATACTCGCGCGATCCGCGGCGAGTTTTGTTGGGGGCGCTGAGAAACAGACTGGAGGTCAACGTTTCGCGCGTAAAGCTCCACTCGCTGTAGCTACACACCCGGCGGGGGATAACGCGCCCTATGGTATCGTTTCTTTTCGAGATGACCTCTTCCCTGTGCCCCCTTGCTCCCCTTAGTCCCCTCTCAACCTCTCCACCGAGGCTTTCCACCAATCCAAGAATCCTGGGGTCACATCCGGTTAGCCGAGAGCTGCGGGAAGCTTTGCCAGTGCAGCAGTGCTAACCTAACCGGCCCTTGGCCCTGAAGTTGACTCAGATATACGCACATAGGCGTGTCTAACCGCCGCTTATGGCTTATGGCGCCGCTGGAGCAGCTTCAGGCCGGACCGTGTTGGCCAGGGGAGCTATTATTGCTCGACCGATTCCCGAGGTGAGGCGGGAACACTGAAGCTTCAAAACCCCTCACCCCTCATTCTCTCATGTGTTTAAGCCGTTTGACAGCTTACTTACCTTGCCGTGCTCCAAGAGTCATACGCCTTTTGTGCTTTGTTCATCCTAAGAACTGACGAATACCTGCTGTCTGCGAACAACTAGACACTGAGCCTACTGTAGGGGCGTCGAAAAGTCAATTGGTGATTTCAGCCTGACTAACATCCCTTATTGAGCGCTAAAACCCGCCTTCATCATCAAGGTATCCGGAACAGACACCCCAAGTTACCGAATATGAAGGCCAACGTGATGGCTGTTGCCAGGACCGCTGCCCTGCGAGGCCTTGGACGGTCATCTCTCACTTCACAATTTACTCACAAGCAGCTCCCCGTCGTATCACGAGCATGCATGTCCTCCGTCGCAGAAGCAGTCGGCGTAGCACCCGCTCCCCCGCCTCCTACACCGGTCAACGATGCTGAGCTGAAGGCCGCGCAGCGTGCCATTGAGGCCAAGAAGATCCTGCAAAAGGCTGCCAGCGCAACCACTGTTCGACATGACTGGACAAGAGAGGAGATCTCTGCCATCTACTACCAACCTCTGATGGAGTTGGCGTTCCAAGCTGTACGTTTCCCGACATCCTCATCGTCACCGCGTGCATAGTTAACAAGATATCACCGACCAGGGCTCCATCCACCGCCGCTTCCACAACCCTTCCGAAGTCCAGCTCTGCACGCTTATGAATATCAAGACTGGCGGCTGCACCGAAGACTGCTCCTACTGCGCCCAGTCGACCCGATACCAAGATGGCACCGGCCTTAAGGCAAAGAAGGTCGAGAGCGTCGAGTCCGTCCTCGCGGCGGCGCGCACCGCAAAGGAGAATGGTAGCACACGCTTCTGCATGGGCGCTGCGTGGCGCGACATGCGCGGCCGCAAGAACAGCTTAAAGAACATCAAGGCTATGGTCACGGGCGTGCGGGCAATGGATATGGAAGTGTGCGTCACGCTCGGCATGATTGACTCGGAGCAGGCTAAGGAGCTCAAGGAGGCCGGACTGACGGCCTACAACCACAACGTCGACACCAGCCGCGAGTTCTACCCGTCCGTCATCTCAACCCGCAGCTATGACGAGCGTCTCAAGACGCTGAGCCACGTCCGCGACGCCGGTATCAACGTTTGCTCCGGCGGTATCCTCGGACTCGGCGAGTCATCGGACGACCGCGTCGGTCTGCTGCACACCGTCTCTACGCTTCCTTCCCACCCCGAGAGTTTCCCCGTCAACGCCCTTGTGCCGATCAAGGGTACGCCGCTGGGTGACCGCACACCTATTCAGTTCTCGAGCATGTTGCGTACCATTGCGACAGCCCGCCTTCTTATGCCAGCGACCATTATCCGTATTGCCGCCGGAAGGAAGACCATGTCGGAGGAGAAGCAGGCCATGTGCTTCATGGCCGGAGCCAACGCTATTTTCACAGGAGAGAAGATGTTGACAACTGACTGCAACAGCTGGGACGAGGATAATGCCATGTTTGGCCGCTGGGGCCTGACACCGATGAAGAGCCACCACAAATCGCCGGCTCCCATGACTGAGATTGAGATCTAGAGATAAAAAGCAACGAGAATCTAAGTTTTATACCATTATGGTGTTGAAATCGGAATTAACGATGAAAAGCTCTGATGAGAAGGGAGTAGCATGTTGCTACGTAAAGAGCTGCCCCTCTCTCATCATTCTCTTCAAAGACCTCCGAATGCGCATTCCTCCCAACTAGAAGTCGATGTTGGAGAATTTCATTTGCCGAATGGTTTGTCCATATTTGTAGAACACCAAGGGGATTGGAATCATGGCGAAAGAAATGAAGCCGAGGAGTGAGTTTCCCCATCCGAGTCCGAGGCTCTGGTACAACCGGTCACCGGCCAGGGGTAAGAACGCGCCCAACAATGATCTGGTGACCGTGCCGGCTGCCATGGCTGAAGCCGCATATATCGTAAATGCATCAACTAGATATGTCGATATTGACATCTTTAGGACACAAAAGTCAGTACTGATGACGCATTGATAGTTGTAGGTACATGTCCTTACCAGGACTATGACAATTCCGCATCCCAGGATAGCTGTTCCTATGATAGGCAGCATCCATTGGAGTTGCTTATCCGCAGTCCAGCCATACCAAAACAGTCCTATGGGAACCAGTATAGCCCCAATGAGCATGGGCGGCAGTCGATATTCTGGCTGAAACTGCCTGCTATTTCTGAGTGACAACTTTTGTACGAGTTTATCGGACACTAGACCAGCAAACAGTAGTCCAACCACGGACCCTACACCAATACCAATGTACGCCAAGCCCGCTGACCCTTGGGAGAATCCGTACTGCTGCTTGAAGACCTGAGGGAAAGTGGTAAATAGCAGGTAGAGGTAACCGTACAGGATCGCCATGTATACTGATAGGGAGAAGACGATGGGTGATAGAAACATCATCTTTGCCGGTCGAAGTATGGAGAACATATATAGGTCTTTTGGCTTGCGGTGAGTCGCTAAAACAGATTCTAGGTGTGGATTCCCGGTTTGTAGGCGGAGTCGTCGCGTCTTTCGCTCGAGAAGAGTGAGGGCGTATGATTCAGGCATGCAGAATGCTGTGCTGAAGGCAGCTAACCCGGCCTTATCAGTCATATTAGCCGTGATGAAAAGGAGCATAGTGTAAGTGACCCAGAGATCAACTTACCGCAACCGACACCACCCGAAAAGACCACCGCCAACCTATTGTCTCTGACAGGTACCCTCCAGCGATAGGCCCAATGGTCGGGCCCACCATCGGGCCAAGAGTCCATACCATCATGGCAACTCCTCTCTTCTCTCTCGGAACTGTGTCTGCGAGCGAGGCGGCCCCGAGTGTCAACGGGGCAGATCCGCCTATGCCGGCCAAGATGCGAAACGCAATCATACTGCCCGAATTGGGTGCCACGGAGCATGCGACATTGAAAATGAGAAATACGAGACTTCCAACGTTGTACAGAACGTAGCGACCGTACATCTCTGACAGTGGTGCAATTGCTAGCGGGCCACAGCAGTAGCCGATCAGAAACCCAGATATCATGAAGGCCCCGACGTAGGTATCCGTGACGTTAAAATCAGATTTGATGGAAGATATCCCCGGTGCCGCGATTGATGATGCAAGAGGGCTATCGCCGTATTAAGTTAGCTGTGTGAGGTGATATTGTGTCTGCATCTGCACGACTTTAGTGGTAGCCATACCTGAGAGTTGAGATGTAGCCAAGCGTTGCGATGAAAAGAGCCTTTTTGCCTTTTGACCAGTTCATCGGATTTTCTGGATCATCTGGTCCATCCCAGTTAACCAAGTTGGGATTGACCATTACAGTCTCGCTGTCGTCGGTGGCATCACCATGGGCCATATTGGTTTCCGGTCCGGGTCGAGTCGTTTGCTTGCTCATGGCTGCTTTCTTAGACTCATATCTATCAGACTCACGAACGAATAGGGGGGAGATATCCGATTTTCGAATGAACTGAGGTACGGTCAGGGTTTCCTAGATGACTTCACATCACGTTACGCATTTGATCGGCGGCGTTTTCGGTTCGCCCTTGAGGCGTCGTTGTGCCGAAGCACGTTGTCGGAGTCTCGGACCTTTTCAAGATTTCCGGGGTGGTGCCGGTTCTTGGCTCAAGATGTCGGTTATGGCGATGTCCGTTCCCCGATTTCCACGAACCCAATCGGTTAACCGTCAGTTTCCGAATCCCATTCCTTAAGCTTAATCGCTTCTTCTGATTGCGGGGATGATTTAAGATCCGCGTTCCCCATACAGAGACTCCAATCGGATGATAGATATTGAGGCCGGGTGACTTATTGTCCGGGCCGTTGCCGCTGTGGATATTAGCTGAACGTTATATCAAGTATAAAATGACTATCTCAAGTGTCGAGAAGGAAATGTTGGTGACTATTGATAGCGAGCATGTTATCGTTTATGGTTCAAAGATAAATCACATCGTTTTTACTTCGACGTTGTCATCATGTCGATCAAGCTTGATAAGGTTCTTTCTCACCGTTTGTCGGAGCTCAACGATCCTATATCAGTCAAGCTCAAGACACTGCTGAATCGAAACCACAACGAGCACGCCATTCTTCGCGATCCCCGATTAATTTTGCATAATCATGTGCCGCATGTAAGTGCTCTCATGAGGAAAACTCACGTGTAAATGAGTGATTGAGAAGGAGGCTGAAATGACTATGAGACAGGCTCTTGGGTCGTCTTATCTTCTCGGCGCGACAGACTCGCAATTACAGCACATCTTCGACGTCGAATCCCCTAATCTGGTGGAGCCTGACGATAAGCGGATCATACACGAAGAGATCACCACGTCCAACTGGAGAAAGTTTCTGGGGCAAAAGCCATACACTGCGGCCTATGCCGCATTCTTTGATGGTGAAGTTGCGAAACATGGCGCAGACTGGAGGAGGGTCGTAGAAGACTATGTCTGGGCTGGACCTGAGCCAATTATCAATGGTTTCTCTGGAGGGCGTAAGTCTTCCGCTTCCTGAGCTGTCTCTCCACACTTGTGGTGATGGACCATAGTTCTGACTAACACTCCATCGTCATAGTCAGCCACCCCTTTATCCATCTTGCCTACGCGTACGAGTTCGATGACGAAAAGGTCGCCACGGAGGCCTTGAGTATGGGCTGTACCGAGTACGATCCTACGCACGAAATTCTGGACAACCCTCCACTGGACTCGTCGACCTACAAGACCAGAAGCATCAAGGAAGTCCTTGGTCGTATCCGTGGTGACAAGAGATTTGACGGCTACGTTGATTCTCCAGGATTCGTAAACCTATTCACCCTCCTCGGCATGTTCAGATTTGAAGTCGTTGAGCATTGGAACGCGTGGGTCGTCGAGGATCCAGACGCGCAGCTTGGGGATTGCGCAAAGATGGCGGCCGAGCTATTCATGGAAACGCGCAATAACGAGGAGGGCATGTTCGATTTCTACGTGGCTCATATTCTAACGTTTGCGCATGCTTTGCGCGTCCTCTTTCCCCTCTGGTCGCATGAGCAGAAGGTCTCGGTGTTGCGGCAGTACGGGCTTTGGACGATTATGGTGTATGTCGCACAGCTTCGACCAGGCCTCGATTGGAAGGAAGAAGGGTTGTCCAAGGGTGACAAACCCCCTGCGTGGGACATTATCTTCAGGAACTCATTGAACAGCAAGTGGATGACTGATGTGCACTTCCCCAAGATTGTTAGGGGGATGAAGGTGGTTGAGGAGACTTGGGGGGCGTCAGACGGGCTGTATCGACGAGCTGCCGACGCGTTCGTGGAAAGGTTTAACGGATGGGGAGGATATGGCATGGGTGTACAAGCTGCGTTTGGGCTTACCGGTGTTGCTTAGCTGCTCATCATCAGGCTCTGTAGTATTTGATCGGGATTTATGCTGCTAGCTTGTTGCAACTCAAGTGACCAAGTCAGATAGCACGAGGTGTAAGTCATGTAGTGTGGATGAGACTGAGAGATTGGCGAGTGAGATGAGAGAGTGAGATGAGATGAATGAGTGAAGTAACAGTAAGATGAGGTAAGCCTGGGGAGCTCTGTTAGCTCCCAATTAACATGAGGAAGTGCGCCCGTTCGAATCTAATTTCATGTGAGCAAGCCCGACTGCCGGAGGGACCTTGTCTCTTACCATTGCACCGCTCGTCTCAAGTAGCGCGAAACAGGCACATCAATCAGCAATGTAGGGATACGTACTCGTCTTTGGGGACGGCCCTGAGACGTCAAGCGTCCAGCCAAGTGCGGTCATCTGACGCTGTCGTTGTCGTCCTTCACGTCCTCTTGGCTGCACATCACGTCCATCTTGAACCTCAACTCGAATCTCTTCCTAATGCATCCTGAATCGAGTCGACATCATCGATAACCTCCCCTAGTATCTGGCGACACCTCGCATGAGCTCCATCAGCTCTCTCGAGCGGTGGCTCGAGCGATTCTCGAATCGCTTGCGGCGCTGTCTGCCACCCCTAAACTTCATCACTATTTATTATGCTTACTTCATCCTCGTGTGTCTCATCACGTCTGTCATCTTCTGGGGCTCATCCGATCCTGCATTTTCGGTCAGCTACACCGATAGCCTCTTCCTCGTTGTGTCTGCTATGACCGAGGCAGGCCTCAACACCGTCAATCTCAGCCAACTAACGACTTGGCAACAAACACTCCTGTTTATTCTATTGCTCTTAGGCAGCACCATTTGGGTCTCCATCTGGACCGTCTTGGCCCGCAAACATGTCTTTGAGAAGCGCTTCGATGAGATTGTCCGAGCCGAGCGTGCGCGTAAACTCAGTCGCCAGGGCAGTACCATTTCGCCAAGTTTGCCGCGCTTGCCTCTCGACTTGCCCAGGCTGCAAATGGCGCTCTCCTTTGGAAGATCTCAGACAGCCCCCCCTCCTCTTCTAGACCAGTCCATGAACGCAACAAAGACTGGCGACTCGGAGAAGGGCGATGTTCGCCCAGACGACGAGCGAGCGGATGCTGCCAAAGCTGCAAGCATAGATCGCCAGCCTACGCTCAATGATGCGCCCGAAGGTACAGGCTCACAGGCACCGGGCCACATCACCTTTGACGAAGCACCGCACCCCAATGTCACCGACGAAGTCACATCGACGGGAGTCTCTCTCTACGGCAACATGAACGGAACGGCGCGTCCATTGAGGAGGCCCTACAATGCGCCAGCAGAATCGACCAATTTCGAAATAGATGCTCGCAATTTCTTGAAGCACCGTTCAGCTGGCCGCCACGGCCAATTCCACGACCTAAGCAGCGATGAGCGCGATCACCTCGGCGGCTGCGAGTACCGTGCCCTCAAGGTCTTGGCCATGTTGGTACCAGCCTACTTCTTCCTATGGCAGGTTCTGGCATGTCTTGCCCTTGGGGCTTGGATGAACAACTACATGCCCGATACCGCGAGGGCTAACGGTATCAATCCGTGGTGGCTTGGTATCTTTAACGCTGTCTCTGCCTTCAACAATTCGGGCATGTCGCTGCTGGACGCCAACATGATTCCTTTCCAACAGGCGCCGTACGTTCTCATCACCATGGGTCTCTTGATATTAGCGGGAAATACCGCGTACCCCCTCTTCCTTCGTCTTATCATTTGGTCCTCTCTTCGCCTCCTGAACTTGGCCACGCGAGAAGACGCCTTTATCGACCTGAAAGCTACCCTAAACTTCATCTTGAAGTATCCGCGCCGCGTCTATACCAACCTCTTTCCTTCTCGACCCTCTTGGTGGCTTTTATTCATGCTGATCTGGCTCAACTGTGTGGACTGGGTGGCCTTTGAGGTTCTCAACATTGGGAACTCGGTCATCGAGCAGATACCCACAGGCTACCGAGTGCTCAATGGTCTCTTTCAAGCACTTGGTAAGTCGTTCGCTTACTTTTTATCTTTTATTTTTTTTCCTTTTGGAAAATCCCAGTGTTCAACGGAAGGACTGACTGACATACTGGCTAGCTGTGCGTTCCGGAGGCTTCTACGTCGTCCCTATCTCAAGTCTATTCATCGGCCTACAGCTTCTCTACGTTATCATGATGTACATCTCGGTTTACCCCGTTGTCATCACAATGCGCCACTCTAATATTTACGAGGAGCGGTCACTTGGCATTTATAGCGACGACGTGGGCAGCACATCCGAGATCGACCCCGAGGTGGGCACTCCCCTGCTTCCGATAGGTAGTCGGCCTCCGACATTGGCACGCACCACTAGCATTGGCGCTGCTTCTGCCCGGCCCTCTGTATTAGCACGTCGCCTGAGCCGTTCGGGACCGGTAACCGATGCCCGCCACGCACTCAAGAGCACGTTCATGAGCTTTCATGGTGTTGGTGTTACGCCGCCGAAAGGACCGGGACTCGGCCAGAGCGGCAGCGAGCAAGGAGAGAGCCGTGTCAGTTTCATCAGTCACCAAATACGCGGACAGCTTGCCCATGACCTTTGGTGGTTGGTCCTGGCTGTGCTGATTATCACCATTATCGAGACGTCAAAGTTCATCAAGGATCCCGTGACCTTTTCGGTATTCAACATCATATTTGAAGTCGTCTCTGCATACGGTACGGTAGGAATATCGGTCGGCCTACCCACTGATGCGTTCAGCTTCTGCGGCGCCTGGCACGTCGGCAGCAAGCTCGTTCTGTGTTTGGTGATGCTGCGTGGCAGGCATCGAGGGCTGCCTGTGGCGTTGGATCACGCGGTGCGGCTTCCAGGCCGGCAGCTCCATCGGTACGAAGAGGAGGACCATCAGATACGGAGGAGCAGAACGATTGAATTAGAACGGTAGAAGTAGGTTGCCGCAAGGGACGGTTAGTAGAAACATTAGACAAATTCTTGTGTTCGATTGCCATGAGCCGTGGGATTGATGCTGTCTACGTGTAAAAGTACTCTAGATGATATCTACAGGCATGAAGAGATGACGTTGACAGAGGAAGATGCGGCGTGAAGTAAGCAGCAACAGACTCATCAGGAACATGAAAGCTTGCTTCCAACAATGCAACAAACAAAGAACACATGACTTTGTGATCTTCGCATACCTAGACCAAATGCGCGGACCAATCTAAAGGCAATAGACGCGATGCGATGCGATGCGACATGAAGGAAAAAAGACTCGATATGACCAAATGAATCGTACGGAAAGGCTTTCGAGGATGTATAGTCAACATGGACCGTAGCGTCGTCTCAACGTTGCCGCTATTGCTAGTCGTCGGTCTATCACGCGGGCAAAGAAACGCTGCGAGGGAAGAACCGCTCGTAAGTTGATTTTCCGAGCTTGGCGATGGGTACGCTTACACCATGAACCACCTGAGATTTGTCAGTTAATTATCTTCGTGCAAAGGTCCATGTACAGAGACTGCTTGAGCCTTGACATGAGATCACTTACAATGCTGCAGATGATCAAGAACCAGATGGTGACAAGCATGGTTTCGCCCAACTGCTTAGCATCCGCCCGCTGGCCGTGGTCATCCGTCAAAGTCTCCAGGAACTCGAGACCGACGTAAAGGTAGAAAATGGCAGAAACGCCAATGGGACCAAAATAACCAACAAAAAGCGCCTGTCGCGGGCCTCGGATCTGGCGAATATAGCGATGCAGACCAAGAATGACTGGAAGACGTCTCAACAACAAGACAATAACACCAAGCGCGACCAGCCGACCCGGGCTAATTAGCTCAGAGTTCCAGAAGCTCTCCCACGGACACACAGCGCCCAGCCACATGAAGATGGCCATGTTGAGCATCATGTCAACAGCGGGTTGTACGGGATCCTCGACAGTCTCGAGACGGAACCAGTCGTTCCAGGTGAAAACGTTGCCCGCGATGAAGCAAGCCAGCACGTCGTCGCTACCGACCATACCGCATGTCCCGAGGATAAAGATGGCCAAGCCGATAGGGAAGAGGAGGAAGCATTCCCGCTCGACGTACTTACGTCGCTCGGCCCAGTGGAGGAGTCTTTGCGCGAGCAGGCCGACGACCCAGCCGTAGAAGACGCTCATGAGCACGACGTAGACGCACGTCTGCCCGAAGAAGAGGCTCAGCGCGGCGCCAAAACCGCCCTCGCTTGAAGCTGGGTTGCCATCGCTTTCGGTGTACTTGATGAGGTAGAGCGCGAGGAAGAGGAAGGGGTACCCGAGGCCGTCATTGGCTCCCGACTCGGCGACGATGATTTGCTGCAAGTCCTCAGGGACGTTCTCCTCTGCGAAGCGGCCCTTAACAATGGTGGTGGAGAGGACTGGATCCGTCGGAGTGATGCAGGCGGCGATGGCCAGAGCGTGGACGAGGGGCAGGTCCGGGACGAGTAGCCAAACGACGGCGCTGGTGCAAGTCCACATGCCGATCATGCCGGGGCCGAGGAGGAGGCAGAGGGATTTCCACTCTGTGCGGAGGTAGCGGCTCGGCAGCTGGACGCCAGCGAGAACGAGCTGAACTCCGAGAACGAGGCGGCTGAAGTCGAGGGTCACGGAGGCGACGGCATCTTCGGAGACGGCGTACTCGCCGGGCTTGAGGAGCTTAGCGACGTGGGTGAAGGTTACGCCTCCAAGGAGAGAGACGACTTGTATGAATAGCTTTGGTTAGCAAGGTTCCTTGCGCGGTATTTTTTGTTATGATCATGCCAGATAGGTACATGTAGCTCGCACCCATAATCAAAAAAAGGAGAAAGAAATGGCCAGTTGAAGATGTGCTTCACTTACGGGCTTCAGAGAGGTACAGGTTCTCTTTGATGAGATACGAAAAGGCGCCGAATAAGACGAGCCAACCGCCGAGCACGCTAATCACCACATTGAAGTTCGTGATTGAAAGATCCATAATATCACTCAACGTGCTACAAACGAGCAGCGCCCACCAAACGTCTCGCCCTTGGATCTCGAGGCCTTGGGATGAAGAAGCGGCAGGGCGTGCTTTGGCTGCGACATGAAATGGAAATGCCTCACCATACGGGACCAGACCCGATTCCGCTGCGGTTGCAAACTCGGGCGCGTGTATGGAAACGCGCCGTGAACCAACACCACTACCAATCACGGAACTAAGAGGGAGAGCGTATGTCAAGGGCAGATCAACTTGGATGTATGAAGAACGAAATCTGGAAAAACACAACAGTTGAAAAAGACATCAACATCTGCGGCTTTCGGATCGGAAATCAACATCCACTAAATCTGGCAGCCGTTGTTGCGCGCGCGCCCGCAAGAAAGGACGAAGGAGGCCACCAACGGAAGCCCACTCATCCATTTCTTCATTAGCCTCGATCTCCAGTCCCACGTTACCACTTTACGGTCCTCACCTCTCACCCATGGGATGAGGCATTTCGATGCCATGGAGGCTTAGCTGCTAGCCCATGTCGGTAGCGCCCGCTGAAGCCAAGTCATCCTGACCCCCTTCTCGCAGACATGCGCCCCCCCTGTTGTTGGCCATCCATGATCCCCTACTTTCTGAAAAGGGTCCAGGCAGGGTTCTCGCAGCTTTGCAACCCTACCGCGAAGAGCGCCTGGCCGTCTTTTCTGACAATATCATCTTGAATCTGCTTGAGACGTTCGCGGTTATTTGAGACTGCAGAGTCCAGTCATGCGTTAATGTGCTGCCAGTACGGATACCTGGGTTCTTTCCCTCGACCAGCGCCTCCAGGCTTTCATATGTATGGTTTTCGTCTCCATAAGCGCTGTAAGACAGTGCCGTCGTAACCGTTGAAGAACCGCCGCCGCTCACTAGGTACCCCATTCTCTCCCCGCATACCCCGCTGTGGGATTGAATCTGCTCGCAGACGGACTATCATCGAATGAGCTAAAGCTCTGTAATGGTAGTCGTAGCTCGAGAGTATGAAAGAATTGAATCTATTTCCAAGAGAGGACACCAACTCACAACAGACCTCATAAAGTAAGGTAAACGTATCTTTGCGGGAATAAAAGGCCCCGAGCCTACAGTGTTGAAGCACTGCTGAGCGATCACTGACGAGTGAGCCAGGAAAGCTTCCACGAGAAGAGTCTCAATGAAGCAGTTGCAACTACATATAAGCATGCCTCCTTTTTGTGATGACGCAGGAAATGAAGATCCATGATGGACGGTAGTCTGCCTTCGAGCGTCAACACGCGCTGCCACAGCGCGAGATTCGAGGCTACCGCAATTCTTGATTCATTCGGCTCTCATCGCGCTTCATTTCCGGATGTATTCGTGTTTGGCCTATTTGCGTCTTGCCCGCTGCCTGCCAGGTGCGGATCTGGCAGTGTGAGTTCCGAAAACAGCCCAGAGACAGTGAGATGAGATATCTGCAATGTCTCTCTACATTCATCAAGAGGATGGTGCTTGCCTAGCAATCTCTCCCCATCTTACTATTAGGAGATAAGTTTTTGTGGTAAATTTGGCTTCAGTACATGGTAAGACTGGAATTTCAAATTCGCACGATTGAAGGAAACTCGATTCCCTTCGAGCGTCATCTTTTCCAGCACCGAACTGACATGCATAGTAACGAACATGCCTACATGCAGTATTGAAGTTTTAGTTTCAGTAGTCCTGCACTTGTTGAGTAGCACCTGGATAATACATGTGGCTACACGTAATTTTTGTCTTTCGAAAACAGCCTTACACATCTTGGCAGATAGATGCATGTGCCGCTGAAACCCAGGTCTTACACTCTTTATATGTGCGTACAAAGAGGATAACACCAACGACGACTCTTTTTCTTAGGTTACACACTTACTAACAATGTTGCAGACCGATGATCGGAGGATGTTTGACGAGGATGCCGAAGATGAGACGCATCGGCAGCGAAACGCCTCACACATATCGCTCCTTCGCATACTGCTCCGATGAGACGAGGTCTGACGCCCACTGGCAGCGGCTCAAAGTCGACGACAGAGCGCACTGGCAGGATTGCGGGGACTTGTAACGGCCCGAAGACTAACAGCACGATTGATTTGACGCTCGAAAAATGTCGGTGGGAATGGTCAGCGTCGGTATAAGATATGGGTAGAGACCCTGAAGAGACGCGCTTTTCGCATAAGCCTTTTGTCCCTCCGTTATTATGACTGGTTGCTAATCGATATCACGATTCTCATTCCAATTCCTCAAGCACTAGAGACGAAAAGTGAAGACACTTATCATGGGCTCAAGAGGAGAATATTCGGTGCCTCAAGAGGCCGAGGCTGTCTTCCAGCACGGTATCTTGAACAACCCCCTGATGAAGGACCTACCCAACGACCTCAAATCTCTCAGCCAACATGTCAAGTTCGAGGGCTCAAGTAAGCCGAGCGTTCCAATCAACTGGCGATTCGCCGAAAGCATCTCAGCTTTGAAAGCGCTCGAGGCAACCATGCTTAATCGGTTGATCCTGAAAAAGTACAACACGGAGCCGACAGATGTCACGATCAATACGTAAGCAATCCTCCTCCAGTGACCTTAGTACATCTTTGTCCGGTAAAAGGTCACTTGTAGCCGTAATGATAGCCAGACTGACAGAATTGCTAGCGACCATGCGAGCTTGTTCTACTTTTCGCCCTTGATTGCTCAGCTTATTGGAAAGGATGGAAAGTTCACGCCCATGGCTCTCATGAACTTCGTGCCCGAGGCTATGAAGATGTTCCCGGAAACGGACAAGCATAGGACCGCCGCGAGCTTGCATCGGGCTCTGGTGACGAACATCCACAAGACGAAGGATGGAAGATATTACCAACTCCATGGTAAGGCCGTGTCCGAAAGAACCTTGTCCGTTGTGAATTCCCTTGAGAATACTTTGCTCACTGAATAGGCGGTATCAACCCCGACCCCATCCTCAAAGCTCTGGGCCTGCCCGAGGATGGCC